CCCAAAACATCAGCTTTCCTGCTCCTCTGATGCTGCCTGGCCTGCTGTGTTCCTCCAGCTCCACACCTTGTTATCTCAGAACCCCAGGCTAATGCTCTGGGAGTCAGGTGTTCAAAACCTATCATGGAAGATAGTGAAATTTTAAGTCAATACAAATCTGGAATTAAAATTGAGTGTAATGGTGATCACACAACCATCATCAGTTAGTGCAAAAAAAACCCATTTGGTTCATTAATGTCCATTGGTGAAGAAAATCTGTCTTAATAACGTACTGGGGCTCACATGAGACTCCATGCCCTCAGGAATGTGGTTGACTCTGAACTATCTTCTGAAATGAGCTAGCAAACCACTTGGTTGTAGCAAACTGCTACAAAGGAAAGGAATTAAACAGACACTGAAGCAATCCATGTCCATAAACAGCAAGACCTGAACAATATCAATGTTAATAAGTGGCAAGTAACATTCACACCAGGCAATGGTGAACTTCAACAAAAGTGAATCTAACCATCAGCACTTGACATTCAATGACATCATCAATGCTGAATTTCCACTATCAATGACCTCAGGATAGCCATTTGATTTCCCACAATCAACATCCTTTGGATTACCATTGACCAGAAACTGAACTGGGCTGGCTCTTCATGTAATATGGCTCCAAAAGCAGGTCACAGGTGAGGAACTATGTCATGTTATTCACATTCTATCTCACCAGTCGATCCACCATCTGCAAGGCACATCAGATGTGTGATCGAATAATACTCCAGAACCAAGCAGTCCTTTGGTTGGCACCATCCACCACCTTCAGTTTTTATTCCAACACCGATGCAAAGTGACAGCATTGTGTACCATCTCCAAGATGCACTGCAATAACTTACCAATTACATCTGACAGGACCATCAAAACTGCAACTTCTACCAGCTAGAAAACAAGGGCAGTATATGTGTAGGAACACCACTACCTACCTATTCTCCCTCCAAGCCACATCCCATCCTGACTTGGAACTATCACTGGGCCAAATCCTGTGCCAATAGCTCTGTGGATGTCTATACGCACTAAGGACTGTAGCAGCTCAAGGCAGCAGATCACAAACACTTTCTCTCACACAATTAGGAATAGACAATAAATGCCAGTTTAACCAGTGATGCCTGCATCTCATGAACAAATTAAAATAAAAAGGCTATTCAAACTTTATGATGTCCTAGAACAATTAACCAGGATAGAAGTAACATTGCGTGATAAGACTGTTCATTCAGAATTATTCCAGACTTGAAATTCTCCACTCTGAAGAAGTGTCACTGGACTCAAAACATTAACTCTGCTTTCTCTCCACAGATGCTGCCAGACCTGCTGAGTTTCTCGAGCAATTTCTGTTTTTGTTACTCCATACCAGTCTGCTTTGTTTAAACCAATACCTTGAGGACTGACTTCCAATCTTTTATTCCATGTTAACCTTATTAATAATAACATCTTTCTCACATTCCACTGTATCACCTTAGAAGAAATCATTAATATGCATAAAAAAGATACCTTAATGTTTCCCTTTTTGATGTCAAATAACATTTAGGATCTTCTTTTCATTGAACACAACTTAGCCCTAGCAAAACAATTCTTATTGAAAAACAGTTCCCGGAGGTATTATTTAGGTCATAAACATGGTTTCTATAATTTGCCTTATACCTCTCTGGTGGTTTAAGGAACTTGCCAATAGCTTTTCCTGCACACCTTATGACATTCACATCCCTTCATTCACTGAACTCTTCCAGAAAATTAGTTCTGAAGTCCTCTGAGTGAGGAGGCCTGTCTTCAAATCTCACCTGTTCTAAAGGTGTGCAATAATGTCTGACCAAATTGAATGAAATACCTTTGCAGAAGACATTATTGAAGTCAGGTTAGGGATCAGCCATTCAAGACAGTGATTAAGGAGGAATTTCTTCTCTGAGGATGGTGAATCTATGGAATTCTTTAAGAAAATTCAAGGTTGACAAAGATCTCCTAAGGGAATCAAGAATTTTGAAGGAAAAGTCACAAAGCATAGTTGAGCATTATCAGATGAGCCATATCATTGAATGGTGAGCAGACTACATGGGCCAAATGGCTTACTTCAGCTCCTAAATCTTATGGAATAGCAAGGTACTTTTGCATTTTCACAAGTCAATCTGTTGCATCGTGCAGATAATCCAAATGTCTTCTCCTAACTCATGTCAACTCCTATTTTCCCATTACAATTGTGCTTACTGATCTGCATTGAATCCTGATGAGGCAACACATTTATTTTAAATTCACACACATTTTAAATTGTTCTGTTTGGATGCCATTGTGCCCTTGCATCCATTTCTGTGCTGCTTATGTTCCAATTTATTTTAACTGTTCCTGGACCAGTGTCCATGACTTAAGATGTCCACATCATAAGCTCTGAAATTCTTTCCCTGAAACTCTACACCATGCCTTTCCTTAAAAAGGCCCTCCTTCATGCGTGCTGCTTTGCCCAAAATTTTTGCTCAGATTCCCATAGTCGTGTCATTTTATCAGATGATAGTTTACTACGTTCAAGATGCTACGTGTAGTCAAGTTATTGTATTATTACACGTGAATGATTGTCATTGTTATAAGGATGAAAAAATCCCACAAATAAAACACGCTGAAAGCACACGTTACTTGCGAGAACAGAGACTTCCATGGAACTCAAACAAGAGTGGAAAAATATGACATTGTTTGATGATTCTGATGAAGACCCAGATTCAGTATTAATATTGTCAAATTGGTTCATCACATTATTTTTAAACTAAAGCAGGAAGCAACAGTGAAAGCTGCTGGATTGTTGCAGGGACAACTTTGTGGGTTTAACATTAGTGTGACTTTATTGACAGCAAATGTACTACAGCAACCAAAAGCATAGCTCACCAGCATCTTCTCTCGGGCAAAAAATGCTGCCCCAGACAGTGATTTCCAACCCCCAATTACTACTTTCTATCTAATATTTCAATAAAACTATTATATAGCCAAGTTATGTTCACTCTGCTATTTTCTGAAGTATAGGATATGACCAGAGGGACTCATCTAATCCCGTAAGCTTCAATATTGACAGGTTGTTGTTTCCCCAAATACTTTTAAACGCTAAAATAACACACCAGTGCGCCTGGAGTAAGATATTTACAAGCATAGAAGAAAACCAGTAAAGTCTAAAAATGTAACAAGGCCTTCCAATTGTGGAATTACATAAAGCAATGGTCTGTAAGTTTCTATAATAAGATAAACATTGCACAATCTTCAGTATTTATTGAACAAAGAGAAAGTAACTTTGTAACAATGTTGTACAAACCACTGTACAAGCTAAAGGCAGCTGCATTGTGATACTTGATTTAACAGCAGTCAGGTTATCAATAAATTTTCATTGTTTCTGTTGTGCATCCATAAGTAATTACAAGTTCTTTTGTAATTTGGACACATTTAAATAGGGAGGGTTGAATCCAGAACCAATGAACGAAGTGTTATCTATTCCACTGAAATGTTGGGTTTATTTAAAGCAAAATAAAAAATACAACTCAAAATCCAACATTACAAATGTCTACATGTCTTGCAGTTGGTATATCCATTTCTCTTCCAACAGTTCTCACATCGTTGGTATGTGCGTTATTTGTATGTCTTCATGTGCCAGAGACCATCATTTAAGTAATGCATGTTTTCAATTCCAATACCTTTATTGACTTGTTCACTGTAGAAACAACGAAAAGTATTTGACTATTTGGATATGAAAAAATGTATTTCTTTAATCTAATCTATTTTAAAATTAGAATAACTTCATAGCTGATCCCAACTTCTGTTTTGTTTTTTTAAAAGATTTTCCCCGGGTCTCAAGACAACAGGAGCACTCGTTATTGTGTAGCACTTGACTTCTTACAGTCTGATTGAAATTGCAATATGCATCAAATCAAGGATACTTATTTTATGGGCCCATTATTACTAGGAACTGGATCAAGACTTGCAAATGTGTTTTGCTTTCATCTGCATCTGCATTTCCGCATGACTGCACAACTCAGTCCTCCTTAAACCAATAAAACAGCAAAACGTCAAGATGTATTTACATTTTATCTGCTGGCATCTTCATAACTCCCACAGAGAGGGCATGTTGCTTGCCCTCTGCTGTAATAGCCTTAAGAATGGTCAGTTAAGGAAACTTCCAGCAACTAAGGAATAAAGCAAAGAACAGCAACTAACAAAAACGATGAATACTTGTCTTCTCATGTAGAAATATAAAACCTTCAAATACAACCACATGAAATCTTATTTAATATTAATTTCTGTAGTTCTAATAAAGGAATACTTAAGAATACTATAAACTTTCCAAATGGAAAAGTTGTCAAACTGTGGAGGAACATGTGGCCTGACCAGGGAGGACAGGACAGAAAAATAGTAAAGCAGAATGGAACCATGTTTTACCAAACATTGAAGATAAGAAGGTGTAACTACACTTATAGTATCAGTGGTAGGATGGAATTTATAACAGGAAGAATTGAAAGGTACATTCAAGTGCTTTTTTTTGACTAATTTGATTTTGTTTTAGGGTTGAGTAATATTTTTTGATTTTTTCAATAAAGAAAGACAATTTGCATAACTGGGATTACAAAACACTCTTTATAAATTTTCTGAACTATGAAACTAAAAGAGGCCTATAATCAATTTCACTATCCGGTACACGAATGTCCTTATCTGGTCTGGCCTACATTTCACTCCAGACCCGTAGAAAAGTAGTTGATTACTAACTGTCCCCTGCAATGGCCTTACACGCCATTCAGTTGTACCAAACTGCTAAAAAGATAAAACATACAGACCACATGGCTTCGACCCAAGGACTGAAATTAATAATGGAAAGCCATGTCCACCTTGCAAAGTCCTCCATGCCAATATTGGAAGAGCAGTCTGACAGACATGCGAAGTAACAGCCTGACATTGTAATCTTCAGGAAATCCTATCTGACAAACAATGTCCCAGATTTCACCAAAACCTTCAATGGGTATGCCCATGTCCAAGTGGCAAGAAAGACATACCAGAGGTGGCTGCAGTACAATGGTATAGTCAGAAAGCAGTTGGCCTAGGAGTCACTCAGCTCCCGATCTCATTACAGCCTTGCTTCAAACATGGACAAAACAGCTGAATTCTCGAGGTGAGGTGAGAGTGACAGCCCTTGACATCAATGCTGCATTCGACCAAGTGTGGCATCAAGGATCCCTAGCAAAGCTGGAATCAATGGGTATCAGGAGGCAAACTCTCCAGTAGTCAAGTCATACCTGACACATGGGAAGATGGTCATGGTTGTTGAAGATCAGTCATCTCAGCTCCAGGATATCTCTGCAGGAGTTCCTCAGGGTAGTGTCCTAGGCCCAACCATCTTCAGCTGCTTCATCAATGACCTTTCCTCCATCATAAGGTCAGAAGTGGGGATGTTTGCCAATGATTGCACAATGTTCAGCACCATTCATGACTCCAAAGTTACTGGAGCAGTCCATATTCACATGCAACAAGATTGGGACAATATCCAGGCTTGGGCTGACAAGCGGTATGTGACATTCGAGCCACAGAAATGCCAGGCTATGACCATCACCAATAAGAGACAATCTAACTACCACCCCTTGACATTCAATGGTGTTACCATCACTGAATCCCCCACTATCAACATCCTGGGAGTTATTATTGACCAAAAACTCAACTGGACTCACCACATAAACACAGTGGCTACAAGAGCAGGCCAGAAGTTAGGAATACTGCGGCAAGTAACTCACCTCCTGACTCCTCAAAGCCTGTAAACCGTCTACAAGGCACAAGTCAGGAGTGTGATGGAATACTCCCCACTTGCCTGATTGAGTGCAGGCCCAACAACACTTCAGGACAAAGCAGCCCGCTTGTTTGGCACTAACATCCACAAGCATCCACTCCCTCCACCACCGACGCTCAGTAGCAGCAGTGTGTACTATCTACAAGATGCACTGCAGAAATTCACTAAAGATCCTCAGACAGCACCTTCCAAACCTGCGACCACTTCCACCTAGACGGACATGGACAGCAGACATATGGGAACACCACCAACCTCCAAGTTCCCCTCCAAGCTGCCCACCATCCCGACTTGGAAATATATCGCCGTTCCTTCACTGTCACTGGGTCAAAATCCTGGAATTCCCTCCCTAAAGGCATTGTGGTCAACCCACAGCAGGAGGAATGCAGCGGTTCAAGAAGGAAGCTCACCACCACCTTCTCAAGGGCAACTAGGGATGGGCAAGAAATGCTGGCCAGCCAGCGACACCCACATCCCACAAAATGAAGAAAAAAAAATCCCCCATGCTGAACAACACTTGGAAAAAGCATGAGGAGGGTGCAGGGTGCAAAATGTTCTTTGGGTAGTGGACTTCAACGTCCGTTACCAACAGGCTCAGCAGCATCACTGATGACTGAAAGGCTGAGTCCTAAAAGACATACCTGATGGACTGGTTCTGAAACTGACCGTGAGGGAACTAATGAGAGGGAAAAACAGTCAACTTCACTTCACCTGTTGCAGGTATGTCAGATCCAGCAACTTAAAATGGGGCAGTCTGAGACACTGGCAGCCTTCAGGAGCAGCAGAATCTTTATTCAGTCACATTATGTAACGTCATAGCCCAGTATATCCCTCAGTACCACTGCCAACAAACCAGAAGATCAACCCTTGTTCAATGGAGGGTGCCGGAGAGTATACCAGGAGTAGCACCAGGCATACAGAAAATGAGGTGTCAGCCTGATGGAACGATTACAGACTACTTGCATGTCAAAGAGAGAGAGCAGCAAATGACAGAGAGATAAGTGATTCTACAACTAACTGATCAGGCCTGAATGATGGTAGACAATTAAACAATTAACAGAGAGAAAGAGGAGCCATCACTTATATTTCCGTCCTCAACGATGTGGGAGCCCAGCACATCAGTACAAAGTACAAGGCTGAAGCATATGTATTGGTCTTCAGGCAGAAGTGCCAAGTGAATGATCCAGCTCAGCTTTCTGAGGTGTCCAGAATTATACATGTCAGTCTATTTGATTCATCCTGTGATATGAGGAAATGGCTGAATGCTGAAAAAGCCCTGACAACATACCACCTATAACATTCAAGACCTGTACTCCAAATTTAGCTATGCTTCAGCTAAGCTGTTCCAATATAGCTGCGACTTTGACATCTTCCCAATATTACACAAAGTTGCCCAGCTATGTCCAATCCGTATAATAACTGATAAATCCACTGTGGCCAACTACGACCCTGTCAGGCCACTCAGTTAGGGATGGGCAATAAATGCTGGCCTGAGCCACATGCTAAGAATATTTTCAAAAAAAAATTAAGCTTATTTGACTTCAGTCAGGACAGCAGTAGGATGACTAAAACTAGCTACAGTTCTTCTGGGATGAAAAAGAAAAATCAGGTGAGGACAGAGTTGGCTGCTATGTTTTGACCACCAACTTAAAAATACTTAGTCAACTCTCACGCTCAAGGTTAAGACATAAATAATGTTAACTTAAGTGCAGTAGTGGAGGGCTGACTGCCCTTTCAAGGATGAAGGCGCTCAAGAGAGGGTAGGGGATATAAAAAACAAACAAATTAGGAACCCTTAAAAATGTGCCAAACAACAGTTTGCGAATGACAAGAAATCTGACCAAATTTGTATCGACTTCAAGAACTACTATGTAAATGCATTAAATTACAAATTGCACTGATGAGCTAATAAAACAATTCATTGTACAAAACACCCTTATAACTAGAACTCCTGTAAATAAAAATACTTTTTGATTTCAAACAGATGAGTCACATCAAGGATACAACTATAGTGTCAGTGTCGGCTGGATTTAGCTTAGCTCCGGGGGAAGTTAGTCCAGGACACATAATATTGGCCCCACTAAGCACAAACTTGATGGCCCCTTTATCAACCTGTTGATGTGGCAAGATAGAAGGATCTGTGATGAAGAATTGGGAGATCATTAATGTTAAAGTTACACCAATTATTTCAAATAAAACATTTTCATTATATAATATGTATCTCAAGTCATGTTTGTACATAAATTACAATTAAGGTTAATAATGCTAAAGGTCCACTATAAACTCATTCCAAAAGAACATAGCAAAAGTAAACTCCTACAGTCAAATCCTTTCCATTTGTCTCCACCCATCCTGAAGATTTTGGGAAATTGTCTAACTGGCCATTTTTCATCCCTTTGGATATTGAGTGTGCCTGCACTACGCTACCGCGGAATAGTGGTGGCACTACAGCTCAGGCTTACCCTGCTCACATCCAACATTCACATGTGTATTGCTTCCCAGGTGTTTCAGGCTAGCAGTGAGGAGGAACAACCTTGAAAATGTACATTTCAGTGTATACTGGTACAGTTTTCTGAGATTTTATTTGGGTGTCATTTGTTGGAGAGGCATATCAACTTAGATTACTGCACCTGGTTTCATTTGATTTGATTTGATTTATTGTTTACACATGTACCAAGATACAATGAAAAGGCTGGTTTTGCAGGCTATCCAGGTATACAAAAGTATGCTAGGGTAATCAAACAAAATGCAAAATATAGTGTTACAGTTACAGAGGAGGTGCAGAGAAAGATCAACTGATGATGTGATGTGAGAGATCTGACCAAAAAAAATCAGAGCCATTGTTTAGAACGACACAAAGCTGTCACACATTAGATCAATGAAGAAACAACAAACTGGCAAGTAAAACAATCATTTTTTAAAAATTTGCATTAGCTTTGTCCAATTCATAACGCATTAACCTGTGTAGGAAGGGCATGTGTTTAAACTACAAATCGAGGCAGAAGTATTTAACCTCAGGAGACAGTAAGGACTGTAGACGCTGGAAGCTACAGTCAATAAATGTGGAACTGAAAAAGCACAGCAGGTCAGACAGCATTTGAGGAACAGGTAAGTCAATGTTTTGGGCCGAATTCTGAATTATAATGTATGTACAAGCCTACCGGATATAATTTTCCAGCTCCACATTTAGTATTTAACCTCAGCTGATCTTCTGCTGTAATGTTGAGATATATGCTAAGTTATATGTGATATTGTTTCGATGAGCTGCAGAAGAGACTTTTGTCAGCAAAAATTATCTAAAAAGTCAGGAAGTAAAATGGAAGAATATTGAGCTTTTCATCAGGTTGTATTATTTCTGTTGACATACGAAAGAGTCAAATTTACAAGGCCACTTCCCAAGGCTTTCTCTGTAACTCCGGCAGAAGAGTTGGGAAAAAGGATTTAACTGAATATGCCATGTCTTATTCTAAACTAGGATGTCTCCATGTCCTTTCAGTGTATGGAATCCATAAAATGGGACCACCTACAACCCTAATCCAGAATCGACTGACCGTATCTGTGGAGGCTGGTGTGTTTAGTGGGATGAGTGCAGCAGCTACTACAATAATGCATGTGGATACAACCAACTGAAGAGCTTGGCCTAGTCAGAGGTTCAGGGTGAGAGGTGCCTGAATCCTTTAAGGAATTAAATTTTTCTTCAAATTTCATAATGGCTCTCTCACCTTCAGCGTATCCTCTGGGAAAGATTTCAGCAGGCAGATAACCAAAGACAACACATCCTTACCCCCAGACCCCACACATCAGGCTTTGGCATCACATGGGTTGCAACCACACACAGCCCATTGTCAGCTACGAACAACCTCCATTCACATCTATTCATTCCCCCAGGCAGACCTTTACCCACACATTTGTCTGTCCAACTTCTCTCTCTTCGGACTCATACCCACCCCATCTTCTCCATAAATATCAACCTTTTCCTAGTTACCATCAATTCTGAGGAAGGGTCACTGGACCTGAAACATTAACTGATTTCTCTCCACAGATTCTGCCAGATCTGCTGAGTCTTTTTCTAGCAATTTCTGTTTTTGTTTCAGATGCTGGAAATCTGTGGTTCTTTTGGCTTTTTGTTATGTGTGTTTCTGGGTCCAGAATTATAAGACGTAGGGTAGTCTTACAGTCTCATAATTCTAGACTCAATAAATGTTATGGGTATATTTGGTTATCTGACTGAAATCATCTTTTTTCATTTGTGATTTAATTAGTGTTATTTAAAATATTTGATCGACACTGACTTTTACGTTTTTATAGATTTCTGTCAACAACAGAAATTAATTTGCTAGTATCTTGTAACGTGAGGCAGATGATCAGTATTCTGGAGAAAAACAATTCTAAATTTCCCATTCGCAGCAAATACTAATGCTTCAGCTTTTGTGTTCTCCATTCTTCAATAAATGTTGATAATGGTCAAGTTCCTTCCAGACCTTAAAAGCCAATATGATGCTGATAAATCACTGCTTTAATAAATTTGGAAAACTGAGACTTACCAATATCTTTGCAGGTTGATTTCATACTTAGTCAGGCATGATACTTACTGTAAATATTATTTGTGGTCTGCAAACAGCAGCACAATTAAATGACAAGTACTGATCTGAGAACAAAATGTCAGGTGTGATGCACAGATGGTTGACTATGCCTTGTCATCTGCCAAGCAATGATGACATTCTGTGCACATGTATATACGTGCATGATCAGAGGCAACCGTGACATCACTGAAACGGAAGGAGTATGTTGAACTATGTAGATATCCATCTTCAGAAGTGGCTCCACTGTGCCCATAATGACAAAGCCATGATCAACACATTTGCCAGGCACAGCTTACTACAAGTATTTTGAGACAAACATGAGGGACAAAACTATTTGCTCTTGACCTCACGATCTGCCAGGTGCAAATGCATCTGTCCATGACAGCACTGGACTGCTGAACAGCAGTGACCGCTGAACAGTTCCTTCAGAAATTAAGTCCCAATTTCATGTTGAGGATATTCTGCATTGTGTGGTGCAACATCTAGCATCTGAAAACTGAGAAAACATAAGGCATTGTGGGCCACCCTTTTGCTTATGAATTATGAGGGGAGTAACTATAACTCAATGTGTACTTCAGGAAAGCATTCGAGGAACTGCACCAGGTATGCCTAAAATAAGTTATGAACCCAGTCCAGCTTCTATACAGGACTACATGTATCTATGGAGAGCAGAAGCAGCATGCTGTAGACACAGCTAAACAATTAACAAATCAGAACAAGGCTTTGCTGTCATATCACATATTCCATTATGAATGGGGGTGAACAATTAAACAGCTAACAGGAGGATGCTTCACAAATATCCCTATCTCAACAGTGGTGTCCAACACAACAGTGAAAAAGGCAAGGTCGAACAGTGTGCAACCATCTTCAGTCAGAAGTACGAAGGGGTTGGTTCATTTCAGCCTCGTCCTGAGGTCTGCAGCCTCAAAGATGCCAGGCTTGAGCCAATTAGACTCACTCCATCTGATACCAAGGAGTGACTGATGAACTCAAACCTAGACTTATGACTTGACACCCAAATTAGAATTCTTCTTCAGGTGTAACCCAGGAATAAAATTGTACTAACTCATTCCATAATGTTCTTTAGAAAGGACTGCACTTCTTAAATCAATTTTGTAAAACCTTAAAGAAAAAAGTAGGATCCATTCTTTCACAATGGACATACAACTCTGGCTACTACAAAAATATGAGGAATATAGCAACATTTCCCCGAGTAAACATTCAGGAGTTTACAGTTCTCCATATACACACAACGGCAATAAACCTACATTTGTGAAGTAATCGTAAGGTGGGGTAAAAAGGTCCCTCCCTCTGTCTGAAGAATAGCAGTTCTCCATTGACAGTCAGGATCTCTATATGTTCATGGCTGAAAACAGAATAGAAAGAACAAAAATCATGATTAAGTCGTGAAAATCATATTTTGATTAAAAACAAAAAAAAAACAGATTTAAAACATTCTGCAGTTTGGACATGATTTTCCATCAGAAAAGGAGTTGAAAATCTTGGAAAAAAAAATGGAATTTTCTATATTCAATTGTAACATTTATTTAAGTGAATTACTGCACATCTAGTTTTGAATCCCTAAATACAACACAAATCTAATTAGTCACTTTTAGAAGTGGAATGATTTTTCTCATGTAGGCAGCCATTCTACATCAACAAATCATAGCAATGAAAGATAGATTTAGATTTTATTGTCACGTGTACTCAAATACAAGAATACAAGAGTACAGCGAAAGTGTATAGTCGCCATTCTCTCACGCCATCTTAGTATAGAAAAGACAGGATTAAAAACAGAAGCGGAAATAAAAGAAACATCCAAAAGGATTCGTCCAGATCACTCCCCCACCTCCACAAGTCCTCAATGCCAGAAAAATAAAGCCACAAAGTCCATCCCTCAGTCTGTGAGCACACAGGTGCCCTGGGTCCACGCACATCATTGCAGTCAGAACACTGCCACCAAGTACCCGGGCCCAGCCATGGCCTGGAGCTGTGCTACTAACGCTACAACTGTGTCACCATTCTTTGGTACCATCTTGCCTCCATCAACGTCATCACTGCCATGTGCGTGAAGCTGCCGGGTCCCGAACCAGGCTCAAACTCAACGCTGAGCCCACCACGCTGAAGCAGCTGGTGCCTCATTCTGGCTTATGTTGCTGCCATTGCCGCCTCCTGGGATCTCCATTTCAAAGGAACCTGCCAATGCCAACCCCTGGGAAGGAACTGCTCCTGCTGCTGCCAACATTCCAGGAATGGGACCGCTCCCGCCACTGCATTTTTTGGTGGTGTAAAGAAAGAATATTGACCTGGTCATTATACTCTTAGCAATCAGTTCTATAGTTTTCTTCCGAGAGAAACTGGTTTCTAGAATGTTTGGTTTCACAACCCACGAGGAGGATTTATAGCGTTCTCTTCCAAGCAGGAAGCTGATATTGAGAGTGTTGCTTTTAGTAGCAACTCTTTGCCATTGATGAGCGTTCCTGTGTTTTTTTACAGAGAGGTGGAGGAACAGAACATTACGACAGCTTTCTAGTTTTGTCGCCCTAGTGTTGCGGGATTATCAATGGCACCTGACCCACTGGAAAAAGGGAGGCATGAATCATGGGCTAAAATCCCAACTCAAGCATCAGTAATTCAGCAATCTATCATTGCTATAATCTAGACTGATAATCACAGTGAGAGTCAAAACCTCAATCTCTTGACCCAAAGATCACAATGCTACCGACTGAACTAAGTTGACACAACTGAGAATCTTTTAAAGTCCATTACAGCTTCTTTCTGAGGATTCGTCATTTAATTCTGAATTGTGAATAGAGATTCTGTCATTTTATGTGGCAAAACTAGGCATAAACCTAGATTGTGTCATTTCAATTCCTCCTTTGTGTGAAACCAAGATGCAAGATTGCTTTCCTTCATCTCCTTCTGGCACCATCTCATACTGTGATAAAGTACCATGGACACTGATAGTCATTGCAACTTAACACAAACAGTATTTTTTTTAAAAATTGCCTTCTCACAAGTCTTGTACTCATCATTATTAAAAAACGTTAATATTTGGCAATACATGTCTACTTTGAGTACCATTATATAAAATGTACTCTCACAATGCATGGTCAATAAGTTTTGCAACTGATTAGTTGCATATCATGATTTTGTTTTCACCCAACCTTCGGAAAGGCACTTTCCAGTTGAAGACCACTAGTTAGGGATCATGACTGGGAATTCTAGCTTATTTTTTCTTTCCGCTGCCCAGAAGATGTGAATAGCAGCATCCCAATTGATGCACAGGCTGGGCCCAACACGGATCAGGAGTCACATATGGGAACCCCCTTTTCTTCCTTCTTGAGGCCATAAATTCTATTAAGTAATAAGCAGATTCAAATCTATAATGTTGTCATTCAGCTTTCAATAAAGTGCAACAGTGGGAGAGAAGAAATATGCCTCCTTAATCTGAGTGGTACAATATTACATTTTATCCTTGCAAACATTGTATCTGAAGAGCTCTTTGAGCTATATCAGATTAAAATAAAGTAGTGATTGTTACACATACATACTTTGTGCCCAAGTAACTTAAAGTGGTACATTAAGACTACCACATAACACTGAAGCACTCTAGCTTAAATGCTGAATTGGAATCTCTGGAAGAGATTCCAAGATCAAGTCACATCAAGTCACAAGTACAGTATGTATGTTCAAGGTTTAACAGGACAATCTCAAAAAATTGAGGCAGAGAACAGCAGCAATAGCAATTCCTAATGTCAGACTGACCAGGACAAATGACTTTAAAAAGTATATATCTTTAGACTTAAAAAAAGACATCTCAAAGAGGACCCGAAAGAAGTATAACAGGTAGAGGATACTGATGCTACGGTAGCATGACCAAAGAATTAACTTATGTTCAAAATCAGGAATTTTCTCCTTACACAACATGTAATCAATGTTTCATAAATAGAAAATTAAGTGGGGATGGTAAGGGGAGAATATTGATAATATTTAAGAAACATCTACAAGAAGAAATATGATTCATTGGTGTTCCGAAAGAGGGAAAGCAAACAGATGACTGGGTCTTCTTCATGTGAATTTATCTTGTGATCTTGCAATATTCCCTTCAATAAAGTGGTACTAAAATGCTTAGTTTCCAGACACTAATTTAAATACCAAACATGTTAACCATCAAATTTATAAATGTGAAAATGATTCTGTGGAATGATACAATCAACTAATACAAAACAAAGATTTTGACTAGCAGCATCAATAGTCTGGAAAGATATGAAAAATGGACTTCAAAAATCAAAGGAAGAAAGGAACTACAAGTGTTTGATTTAGAGTGCAACAGGTAAATATTTACAATAAATTAAATGAAAAAGAATGATGAAAGAACTAGCAAAAGAAACATTTGGAAGCAATTCCAAGGAACAGAATTAATCTGCATTTGTGCAGCACAGACCCAGTCCTCAACCACTCCTCACACATGACATCATCCCCAGGATTATTCTTGTAAAGGCATGCAGTATATGAAACAAGTAAATGAGCTTGTAGTGCAGATTGAAATTGGAAGGGCATCACAGACACATGACTACAAGAGGATCAGAAGTGAGAACTAAATATCCAAGGACACGTCTTGTCAAAAGGACAGGCAGATGGGCAGAAAGGGTGGAGTTGACTTGTTATAAGAAATGAAATTAAATCGCTAGCAAGAAGTGATATAGAGTTGGAAGGTACAAAAACAGAAGTTGCTGGAAAAGTTCAGCAGGTCTGGCAGCAGAGTTAATGTTTCGAGTCTGGTGACCCTTCCTCAGAACTGATTTTTTTCTTCACAGATGCTGCCAGACCTGTTGAGTTTTTCCAGCAACTCCTGTTTTTGTTCCTGATTTACAGCATCCGCAGTTCTTTTGGTTTTTATAGAGTTGGAAAGTGTTGAATCTGTGTGGGTAGAGCTGAGTAACCGCAAAGAAAGAAAGATCTTGATGGGAGTTGTGTACAGGTCTCTTAGCAGTAGTCAGGATGTAGGGAAGAAAATAAATCAGGAGATGGAAAAAGCACGTAAGAAAGACACTATTGCAATAATCATGGGGGACTTGAGTATGCTGGAGGACTGGGAAAATGAGGTACGTAGTGGATCTCAAGTAAAGGAATTCATAGAATGTCTACAAGATTTTTTTTTGGAGCAGCTTATGATACAGCCCACTAGGGAACAGGCATTTCTGATTTGGTGATGTGTAATGATGCAGACTTGATCAGAGAGCTTAAGGTAGAGAAACCTCAAGGAGGTAGTGACCATAATAAGATAGCATTCACCCTGCAATTTGCGAAAGAGAGGCTGGAATCAGATGTAATGGTATTACAATTGAGTGAAGGTAACTACAAAAATATGAGGGAAGAGCTGGCCAGAGTTGTTTGGAAAGGAGGCCTAGCGGGGAAGACAGTTGAGCCCCTCCTACATCATGCAATTACAACATATCAACTGGCCAGTATGTCTACTTTAATTCCTTAGTTCCTAGTTTGTTTTTTAGTAGTTTTGCACTGGTCTTTTAGCTTGTAGCCTGTAAATATTTCTCTGATTTACCTTCCGTCTTAAAGTAACCTATAATAGATAGTCAAATTAGCAGTTATCACCAATAAATTAACTTACAGTTTACCTGTGATGTCATTCTTTTGTGCTGGGCCCCCAAGGCTAATCAGTGGCAAACGGAATTTAATCTGGGTTAAGTGCGACGTGATGCACTCAGGTAGGTCAAACAAAGGAGAATACATGATGAATGGTAGGATCCTGGGAAGCAACAAGGATCAGACAGATCTTGGTGTGCATGTCCACCAATCCCTTAAAATAGCAGGCCAGGTAGAGAACATGGTTAAGAAGGCATATTGGATACTTGCCTTTATTAACCAAGCCATTGAATTTAGGAGCAGGGAGATTATGGTGAAACTATGTAAAAAGTTGGTTAGTGCACTGCTAGAGTGTGGTGTCCAGTTCTGAATCCGCATTGTGGAGAAATGTGATTGTGATGGAGAGGGTGCAAAGGAAATTTAGTTGCCTGGGCTGGAGAGTTTCAGTTATGTAGAGATTGGATAGACTGGGGTTGTTTTCCCTGGAGGAGAGGAAATTGAGGGGGCACATGTTTCAGATGTATAAATCTAAGAGGAGCAGACTGGGTAGATAGGAAGAAATGTTCCCCTTGTGGAGGGATCAATAACCAGGGAGCACAGATTTATGGTAAAAATCAGAAGGTTTAGGAAGCAATTTCTTTTTCACTCAGAGGAAGGCGAATGTCCAGAACTCACTGCCTCGAAGGGTAGTGTTACGACAGGGAAAGGTAGTGTTACGACAGGGAATGGCCAAACCCCTCTAATAATTAAACTAAAACACAAGCCCCAATCTACTATGACAGGATTGGAGGTTGCCTTCTAATAATTACCCCTGAAATACCCAGAAAAGTTCACCTTTCCCCCACATAATCTGTTACAAGAGAGAAATCCCTGAAATCTACTTTACAAGTAACAAGACAATTTATTTATTTAACCCAACAATGAACAAACTAACAAAATTACTAACAAACCGACAATTCCCCCTTAGACTACTAACTACTCCCTAACTGGTCTAAATTCTACTGGAATGCTGTTTAAATGAAGACAAGTCCCAATAACATACACCCAATTAATAAGAAGCAATAAATTAGAACAATCTCTCCAAGTTCGCACAGACTGTCTTCTGGAATATTGTCATCTCCGTTCTCTTCAGAAACGCCTTTCTTCTGTTAATTCTGCTGTAACTTCTCCTGTAAGGACTTTGGCTAAAATACTGTGATAACTTTGATTAATTAGATGGGCTTTCTCCGAGACCTGTATGGTGCTAACTCTGGCAGGTGGCAGTTGGCTCTCCCAACTTTTCCAAATGCTCTCATTTTACATACCGGTAACAACATAATCAAATCCGTATGATATGATTGGTTTCAGGTTGTCAACACCATCAGATCTAAATTCAATTTGCTTTCTGTTTGTAAGTGCTTCGTTTAAATTAATTGGCCGAATTCAAACTTGTCGTCACAACATCAAAACATGACTGCTGTTTTGCCTGCTACCTGTAAGGCATTTTTTCTGTTTGATAACTTGTTTTATTTTTTGAGGCTGTCTGTACTGGCAACTTCAGCTGCCGATCACAGACATACATTTTAAAAATTTCTAAGTGCAGACAAAGCACAAATGTCTTAAAGGAACCACATATTTTAGCTTCCTGCCTTCCACCTCACAATTACTCTACCCAACTTCATAACAGTGATAAACCTTCATAGCATGTGAAACCCTCATAACATTCAAGAAATATTTAGATGTGTATTTGCAATGTCAAAGCATACACAGCTGTGTGCTAAATGCTGCAAAATGGGATTAGAATAGTTAGGTAGTTGTTTCTGACTGGCAGAGAATCAATGGGCCGAAAGGCCTTTCTTGTTCTGTAGACCATAACGATTCTACGAACCATGAAAAATAATATGGAAAACGACAGTGATATTTGGAAGTCTTCCAGAAAAG